ATCCTACCACAGCCTCCCAAAGTCATAGATCTCAGCAGATTAACAAGCCGATAGATAAAAGCAGCCTTCCAGAGTACCCGCTGCTGGAAACCTTTGCTCTTTGGGTTGCAGGTGTTTGGATTAAGTCTCTCCCTACCCACAGGCAGACCTTGTGAAAAGCTGTGTGACCTCCTTGGTTGCCTTCTCCCACAGTGTTCTCAATCTGTTGAAAAAACTGACACCCACTCAAGTCGTGGCTGTTTTCATGGTTTTTCTCCCCTCAAAAATACTTCCTCAAACTGGAGGCTGCTTGTGATACCCCCTGGCTCCTTTTTAAGGTTGCAAAGGCATAAATGACCATGCTCAATTTAGAATACTTTAAATCAGCCAATTTTCCTTTTGCTGGAACTCCCCTGCCCCTAATGACACACTCCTGTTGTTAAGACAGCTGTTGAGGGCAGTCCAATCCTTAGCATGGAAAATGCAGCAGAAAACATACGGAATAGAGAGACAGAGGAATTACAAGGCCTTCAGTGTGCCTTTTCTACCCCATCCGCAGCAATGTCAGCATTCACCAAAGCCCAATGGCCTGGTTTGGTGAGCTAAAACCACTGAGAACTAAATTGTTTTTTCTTTGACTGCTGCTAAAGGTTGAATTTTGTACCAGTTTAACTCCTCAACTCCTCACTCAAACTGCTGGGTGACAGCCAGTGCCAGTTCCAGGGAAGTGAGAGCAATGTGCAGCCAGGGGAACAGGGACACTGTTCTTTTTGACAGCTAACAGTTAGCCCAAATTAGCTGCAATGTCAAACCACACCCTCAGGTCTCTGATGGCTAGGGAGACTAAAGAGATGGTAGAGAAGGCAAAGGAGAGACAGGAAAAGCGCGAAATCAAAACAGGCCAAGGATAAAGAGAATACACATACTAGATGCAAAGTAGGGGCTGGACTGTGAGTGTTGATCGTGGGAACAGATGGAGAGATAGAGAGAGAAATGACACCCATTACACTCAAAATCATATGTATGAGAGAGGGGGAGAGGGGAGGGCAGAGGCAGAGTGCAGTGGGAGAGATAGAATTTGCAAGGCAGGAAATAGATTTGCAGAAAATAATGGTTTAAGAAAAACTGGAATCGGATTCACTGAAAAATCACAGCCTAGTTGGATCTAACTGCAGTTAGAAAAGAAGGACCCTTTGAAGAACAGTTTAATACTTTCTCTTCTAATGCTGACATTCACAAGGATCACCTGCTCTTTCCACATTGCATAGTCACACAAAAAGTTAAAAGGTACAGCGTAACATCCGTCTTGGCCAGTCCAATAAACATTTATTCTATCAATTAGAGGCAAACACTGCACAGAATAAACTAGAGCCAAAGGAAGTAAAATATTCTTCCAGTTCTATAGAGGATCGAGATGCAAACAAAAAGATTTTGATACTTCCATGGCTTTCCATTGACATAGAAACCAGAGAGAAACATTCATTACAAGAAATATTCTGGCTATAAATGTTTGTCGTGTGTGGGAGGTCTTAGTATTGTAATATGTATTAGAAACTTGATATTTTTCCAATCAAGCCTTTCCACTTCCATTTACATATATTTAATTGTAAATATTCATTTTCCTACCTGAAGCACTTTAAATAAATATACAATAAACACTGTCTATGCAGAACAGGAGCAAATAGCTTAGGTGACTTGCGATGAGCCCCAGAACTGCTCCAGCCTCCACATCACTGGGACGGGAGCAATGCAGGATGATCTCTCCCTTCAGCTTGTGGGGGGTCTTGTAGACCAAGTTGGTGATCTCATCCTCATGTCTCCTGAACTGTGATCCTCCCTCCCAACCAATAAATCATAACTGACACAAACTGGCATCTGTGCCAGCAGAAAAATTGATGGATGGCCAGGAGGTGCCCTCTCGCACATAGAAGTGGATTTCTTCAGAGCACAACCAACTTCAGTTTGCAGTCGTGTCAATCCACATTCATCTCTTCTGAGCACCAAAATGTGTGGGCAATAGAATCAGAAGGCACTGTAACCATAACTGTATTTAAAACAGAACAGCACAATGCATAGAAACTCTCAAGATGTCGTCCTTCGACCTCAACTCGACAGCGCTGCTTGCCATGGCCAGCAACGAAGTGTTGCCTTCAGAGGGACCCTGCTCCAGCCTCTTGAAGTGGTGAGGCGGCAGGGAGCCTGGAGCTATTGAAGCTCTCCCTGAGAATTCCCCAGGTGTGCAGCAGCTTTCAGTGGGCCCAAACCTGCACCACGTACACAGTGGGGCTACAGATGTACTGGAGGAGTGCTTCTGTCCACTGCTGTCACCTAACATAGAGCTGACGCAGGTGTATCAAAAAGCCCCAGTTTGTGACAGAAAATTAATTTTTTTGTGACAGACAGCACATTTTAGAAGAAAAGCTTTCAAGTCAGGATGCAGAGACTGAAGACAACTGAAAGATGGCTGGAAGCTATTTTTTCAAGGTGAGGTTATGAAACCAAATTGATAGGATGGGTAACAGCGTGGATAAGCATGAAAAAAACATGGTCTTATCAGCTGGTCTCACAGGAGATGCAAGTTAGAAAGAAGAGAGAGGCTTTCACATACTTGAACCACTCTTCTGGGATGATCCAGAGGCAGTAAGCTACCACCTACAGTAGTTGGTAAGTAGCTTTAAAATCATACTTGAAGACTCCCCCCACTGAATTAACTGATGACTCGGATATCACTGCAGTCATGATGATGCACTGCTACAGTACTCAATAGTTATTTAACAACAAAAGGTTGGTGAGTGTTGGTTTTTAAAGATTGCTAATAGACCTGGGCAGAAATACATGTCCTTTGTACCACTTACCTGAGAAAGTGATCCTTAATTGCTAGTTACATTAATAGGAAAATTAAAATTTATTTTCAAATAACTGGATTCAATGCCAAACAAAGAAACCAAGGTTACCTGTTGACTTATGGGGCAATCTGAGCAAGATTTAAGAGACAACACCTTATGTTTCTTACTTACACTAATTAATTATGAATTGTTGTAGGGTATATTTATAAGGAGAAATTAAGGTAAATGGTTTCGTAATACTGACTAACTGAAGTCAGAAGAACTACAGGAAGTAAGACAGTACTTCTGGAGAATAAAACAAATGGAGTGCCTGTTCTGAAAGTCACATAGAGGTATTTCTGCATAGATTAAAACTTTTATCATGATGGATCATAAACTGTAAAGTAGTACTGGTGTCTATCAGAAAATTCTATTTTATGTGTGAATTTCAAGTCTTATACATGAAGACAGATAGAACCCTTCTACTTGCATTACTGGAGACTTATCAAAAACAGGATGCTTTTTTCTTGAGAAGATGAAAAGTACAGAGATAAGCAGGGAAATAAAGAATGAAGTTTTAACCAATAATATTTTTGTGTGGTTATCAGAGGAATGTAATAATTAATCTTTTAATCATTCTGAAGATTGTGTGAAATCATAATATCTCATCTTTTCCAGCCTCAACCTGCCATTCTTGATCTGAATTACAAACAATAAGAAAGGAGATGATTTAATGAGCAACTTTGTCATGTTGCCATTTTGCCTTAGTCAAAGGCAAATGTCTAGTTTTGCCTCTAAACTAAAATGCAACAGACTTATGTTTCAACTGTGCTCACAACTAAGGCAAATGAATGGAAAAGTTAGGGCTGTTTTAAAGCTAAAACCTGTGTCTTCACATTTTCACAGAGACATAATTAAATACACACCGTTAAGAAGAAGCAAATACTCATTTACTAGAAAATAAAATCCATTTTGTGAAGAAACACACGGATATGGAGTCTAAAATTTGACAAATATTAACTAAATAAAAAAAGTCACTCACAATGGCAATAGGTATGTTCTTATTATGAAGGAAAAAATGTCAGCATGATTTAATCATACTCAATAAATAGGCACTTCAATAAAGTATATATTTACACTGGCTTTCTGAATGCTAGGGCATCACAAAGTAGTATGGCTTTATTACAGTGGATGGAAGATGGCAACTACTTAGAACCCAGTGCCAACATGGATTATAACAAATCCAGTGAGTATTTTGTTTTTCAATTATTCATAGAAAATTTAATCCTGATTAAGTATCCTTGGGCAGGAATTCATGGGTAGTTGATGACTGAAACCAACATTTATTTGAAATGCTTCTGTTAATTTAATCTGTGTATATGGCTTAATTATGATTGAATCCTCAATGTAACAGAAATGAATTATATCAGGATTAAAATTCTAGTACCACATCACCCATTCCATTTTCTTTGCCTTTTTTTTTCTTTAAAAGATCCAAGCCTGCTGTTTTAATTACCTTTATGTTGCTATGTCTTCTAAGCCTCAAAAACTGTTTAAACCTTCATTACTGGATGAAATTTTTAGTTACATTTAAAAAAAAAAAGAGGCAGATATAAACCCTGTTTATATTCCCATTAGAATTTTAACCAGTATGAACATTAGTTGCAAAAAAAGGCTTTTCTTTTACACCAATAATAAAGGAAAGTTTCTTGGAGTCAGTTGTGAACATTTTACATGTGTTTTCTAGAGGATTCTCCCTCTTTTGTTTCCCCATCTTTTATACTGATACGTAAAATCCATTATCTCTAAAGCATGAAAATAAAAAAACCCTTGTACTCATCGTTATGCATCACACCAATTTCACAACTGGCCTATTTCAAACTTGTTTGAGCATGTAGGTGTTTTAAGAACTGCATTTTGTAAGACCTTCAAACCTACTATTGATACAAAGTAAGGGCATTCTTGGTGTCTGTGAATGGAAAAGATTCATTGTACTCTTCTGTGATACAGCTCAGCACCAGATGTTACACCTAAACAATATTTATAAAACTATTAAAATCACAGATTTTGATACTCCCCAACACTTTTAATAGATTAATCTAGGAACCTTGTCAGACCAAAGGTTTGTGAAGTGCTCTGATATTATCACTCAGTTTTCCAGTGAAACCAATGCATCACACACACGTGACAAAAATACCTGTATATTTAAGTCATTATTGCACATTTATTACATAATGTATTCTTCCTAAACATCTCAGAAGTGATGTCGATTTTTATGTCCGGAGGATACTGTTAGTGGCAATGTCACTGATGACAGTGAAGATACCTCCCAGTATAGACTATGAGATAGAAAAAGTCTGTAGAGGATAACCATGGAGATGCACTGACTGAGGATAACACCTATGGTAATAATCTGAAGACAAAAAAAGAGAGAAAAAGAAAAGGTGAAAAAAACCCTCTCACTAAACAACGCACAATAAATTTCTATCAGCATACTGTGTGAGTGTTTAACTTTAAACCTTTTAATACTGTTGCAGTTACAAAAGATTTGAACATGCACCTCAAGTCCAGGATTCAGACTCTCACACCTGGGTGTTTTTAAATCAGCAGATAGCCCTGGGCAAGTCACATAACCCTTCTGGCAGTCTCCGTTCTGGGGAATTTCAGACTTGCAATTCACCACCCATGCAGTTTCACAAGCAGAGGTGATGTTTAGATATTCTATTCTTACAACAAACACAGTGGGAAAGAAAAAAAAAACACAAGAAAGCCTGAAACCACTTTGTACTAGTACAATCATGGAGCTGTGAGGATAGTGATTTATCAGTCTCACTAAGCCAGACCTCTATTCAGTTCAAGTCTCTTCATCAGTAAAAGCAGTGCACAGCAGTATTTATTAAATGCATTAACGTTTCTGAGGGGAAAAAAAAAGTCTTCAGTTTATGTACAGAGAGTCTTTTAAAATACATGTTTTTATTAAGTAATTAGGGTATTTATTGATTGTGCATTTCTTTATTGTATTGAAGTGCATTTAAAGAAGGAAACACAGCTAAATTATCACAGTGTATGAACTGCAGCTGCACACAATTGTTAAACTTGCTCAAATGCAAGAGCAGAGCAATTGTACTCTCCCTTCAGTAAGCTAAAAATACTGCAAAAACATTCCTTTACTGATCATTCCTCTAGAGATTGTCCTCCTGCCCTCAGGACGTTTTCATCAAGCAACAACAAAAAGTCTCTTCATTAGTAACTCTGGAGGAGTAATTTTTTTCTGCAGGGTTTTTTTTTTTTTTTTTTTGTAAATCAAACGTAGTATTTAATTTACTATATATTTTTAGTGGAACCTTTTTCTTTCCCTTACATATCCCCTACACAAATAAAAGCTCAATTTCTGAATGTATTTGCATACAAACGCACAGATGGTTATAAGCATAAAGAAAAGAAGCAAACTCTACCCTGGAATGAGGTAGTCAATCACCTGAGAATAGTAGTGCACTTCAACTGAACATGGCAAACTCCACACATGTAGTTCTCTAGTTCCCAATATGTTTAAGCAACCAAGAAACCCAGTGAGTCTACCTTTGTTTTAGAGCTTATAAATCAAACAACACATTTGGACAGACTTCTTCATCTAAAGAATGCAGTTCAGCTACAGGTTCTCTGACCTATTTAGCCACATAAAGCTTTTACAGGAGGAAGACTAAAAAGCAAAAACAACAAAAAAAAAATCTGATTTATCTTTCTACTACCTTTGTAAAAAGAATCCTCAAGGTGTTTTTAATTAAAAGCAAACAAGCAAACAATAAAACAAAACAGCCCCTCCACATTTTCCTTTGACTTAACAATCTCCCCCTCTCCCTCCCTTCACCTAGAAATGATTACCCTTAGATGATTCGAACCCTGTATGCCTTTGTAAAATATGACTCATATTAGCATCAATGAGAGCTGTGTGACTAAGACTTTTCAAGTTGCTTTGGGGTCATAAGATTAACAGCCTAAGAGCATGAGTTTGCTAACAAACACTAAACATGAAGAACAACTAGTATTTAAATTCCATCTCTTTTATCTTGCCTGTACATACCTTTTCTCTTTGATATTCTCTGAATATTACAGCAATGGTTGCAAGACATGGGTGGCACAAAAACCAGAGAATGCAGGCCTGAAAAAGAAGATGAGTATAAGTTGTAAAATGACTACATGCCAGTTAAGAAGAAAGAGATGACAGTTACAGGAACTACATTTACATTTCTATTTTATGAACCCATTGTTTAATTTTCAATCAACAGAATGAAAACCACACAATGAAAGGTGGGATTTCTGTTTCAAAAAGCTCTATACTCCTTGTCAAGTTAAAATGACTACTCAGAGTATGATGACAAGGTGCAATGTAATCAAATCAGACACTTTAACTGTCTTATGGAGGAAAAGAGCTTAGTGCTTCAATCAACTGCATGCCACAATTATATTTACAGAAGAAGGGATCGGTTTCCCTGACGTAACCCGTACTTTGGCAAAAGTGATGTAGAACTCCCTTTTCAGCGTGCTTCTCTCCACTGTGATAATCTGGTAAAGACCAGCAGCCAGTGACAAAGCCAGACAAACTCTGAGGCCAATAAGCAGTCCACTTGCTAAACCATGGTGCGAGTGGTAGCTGTGGTGATTTGTATCTTCAAACTGCTCCCAAATTAACAAAAAGCTCTGGAAAAGAATGACAGCAAAGCACACTTAGAGTAAACAAGGTTACACTAAATTTTAAATAACCTTCCCATCACAGATTGAGTTATCTGGTCATGCTCCTCTCTGCTTGTTAGAGACTGCCATGCTATACACCAAAAAACTCCCCAGTCTGAGCTGGTTTTTGGCATAACCTATTACTCCAACTGTAACTGGCAGGAACAGAGCCTCACTTCTTGAATTCCGTAACTTTTAGAAAGTTTGACAAGTTAAAGTTTCCTGTAATTTGGATAGAAGCAATGTGGCACCTTGGAAGAAGAAGATCTGGAATAATCACCTCGTTAAACACTCGGCCTACTCTGCAGGAAGACCACTGAAATGATTTCACAGAGCTACAGGGAGGTGTCTCCTTCCACTTGTGATCCACAACCTGTAAAGCTTGTTTCAAAGGCAGGCGACTACGCCTTTTCTTTCAAAATCCTAACAGGATTCACTTTTCTTTTTAAAGATGGGGAAGTAAGAGGGTGGTGCTGCTGCCCCTTTTATACAATAGCCTAAAGGCTCATGCATTCACCCAGGTTGAACTTGGATCTCCCACAATTCCCTTCTTTGCCTAAAGGATATCCAATTCACATCTCCCACCTCCTTGGAGAGTGCCGCAACTGCCAGCTATAGGCTGTTCTTGGGTGGGCCACTCTCCACCCCTTCTATTGAAGCTGTGCCATTGTGGAGAAAAGAATTCGACATCAGCTAGGTCAGAAACTGTGAGCGAGCCTGGCTCTGCAAGCAACTGGCTCAGAAACCTGCTAGGGTCTAGGAAAGGGAGTGTCACAGGTTTCAAACGCTGTTCCACCATCTGGACAACACTCTAGCCAAGAGATAACTACACAAAACATAGTAATCCTCCTTAACCCCTAGTGTTGTATCCATTTACTGCAGAATCCAATTTTGCAGGAGCACTCTGAGAAAGAATATTGATATTCTCCAAGGAAAAACAGACTAATAAGTGACTAGTTTCTGAATCTTAGTTGGGAAGAAGGCAGGCGCCTACTTGCATAAAAGAAAGTGTCTTGCTGAAGAACACCTTTTAAGACTTTAGGAATGCTAACATTATAAATTAGAATACACATGAAGTTTAGACTCTCACAGCATCATGTAGCAGCTTATGGCATTTTAAAACTCGAATATACACTGGAATCCAGTCCACCTACTGCATGCATCTAACTTGCACTGAGGCTTCAGGTGCCTAATAAAGCAGGCTTTCTGAAGAAAGGTAGGCAAATTTGATTTTTGAGTGAAGTAGCTCTCAAGGCCTTTAGAAGCAGACATTGTATAGTTCAATTTAGAAATATAAATTAGTCAGATTCCTTTCTCAACACATTCAAAGGCTTTCTCACTACATTAACTACATAAAGACAAAAAGGTTACTGATATTACATTTTTAAAAAGCGTGTAATCCACCTGTGCCTTTCAAAAGTGGATGTCCTTGAGCCTCATCAGTCAAGTATTAGAATAATTATCGCTTAGAATATCCTCAGAGGTACTCTCATGCTTCCCCCCTCCCTTACCTAGGCCATGACACAGCAAGCACAGCTGCTGTTGTTTCAGTCACTCCTCAACTACCTGGATGGAAAATGGCAGGATGGAAGAGGGACAGATGTAAAGTGTGCACATCTTCAACACAGCTGATTACTAGTAAACAATCTGACCAACAGGCTTCAAATCTTCCCACCGTAACACTTGAAATAGAGTAGCTTCAAGCAAACATTGTCAAGTGATCAAGTTACTGGACCGAGAAATTCTGTCACGGACTAAGACTGAAGTAAGACTACACTGCTCCCCAGTCCCTGAGATACAGCACAGTGTTTGGTAACATTGTGTCTATAGCACTAGTTTTGGCATGAAATTGATGAATTCCTATCACAGAAGTTATTTCAGTCTGGTTAGGACATGCTCAGACAACAAACAAGGGTTCTACCAGTTACAGAATCACTGCAGTCTTGTAAGCATTTTCCCTTTTGATATTTACACTTGAGAACTGCCAAGTATTTAATTTCCCTGGACTGTACATATTCTGCTTAAGAAAATAAAAAAACCCTCAACCTATGTATAGAATCTTCCTGACTCAAGCAAGCATCTGGGGGGAAACCACACAGGCTGATGGAGAAGGAACTGTGATACTGCTCTAAGAAGAAACTTTAAGCTATCCCTGGCATCTACCTAACCTTAAAAACCAGAGCTCACAAAGGTCTAAATTTTTCTTAATCTACACCAATAGTAACAGCAATGAAGGAAGCCACTTTCATGAGAAGATGACAAAGAGCTGGAGTAAAGGAATTATGAGAACAAAGCTCAAATCCTCATATGAAAATAGTGTCTGACAGCAGGGTATGCTCCGGACTAGTCCTTTAAAGAGTGTAAACAACACAACATCAGTTGATCAAAGGCGGTGTATGGTGACAGCAATGTAAGATCACAGAAGTCCAGCTTCCTTAGATTATTCCAAAATAGGCAGAAGGCAGAGGCATTAGAGGCAGAGATGGAACTGTCAGTGCAACACAGTGTAAACTTGGACAAAGTGAATCTGTCATTGCTATTACTGTGAGCCAGGGCTATTCTCACTTGCCAGGATCCTATAAAAGAGAAATCTGTCCTATGGAGTGCTTCTAGGTAAAAATGGTAGGCAGTCTGTTCTCAACAAAGGAAGGGCTTTCATACGCTAGCGTGATCCTGAAGTAAAAATCTCTTTAGTTGGGGAAATTAAAAAAAAAAAAAAAAGAAATTTAGTTGAGAAATTAAGGTCAATAAGCTCTGAAGTCCCTTACCTTGACCACAGCAAGGCAAGCATCAACTCACTTAGCTGCAATATCAGGAACAAGCCGAAAAACACCCAGACACCAACCTGCTGAAGTAGATATCAGAGACATATTTTTTGTTGGCAGTGAGCAGAACTATGTTTGAGCTCTGAGAAGAAATCAGGGGGAACAATTCTAATTGTTATCCAGAAGAACAACTGTGCTTAGGCTGTAGACAAAAGAACTGGATGAGACAGGTAGCTAAAGAGCTGACTCACACCAGCTACGTCCGACATTAAAGTCACAACTTCTTCTTCATAAGGTAAAAGAGAACGGCCATCTCCTTTTTTATATAATACACTATTCAAAATGCCTGACTTCAACCTGCACATACTCCTGACCTATCTTGGTTCACAGTGGACACCAACCACTGTCTAGTACTGACCTTCCTCTTCAAATACTAGAAGAATGATGGCCACGGACATCATCCTGATTTTCCAGATATACAAGCTGAACCTCCACATCCATATGATGAAGAACCAGATACTCTTCCTTTTTGTCATGAGGAAACAATTCTGGTAGAACACCTCCTTCCTTTCGCTACGCCAACACTGACTTTATGACAAGCCAAGATAACATATCAATCTCCAGCAAAGGCAGGTTCTCATGGGACAGATCATCTCTCAGAGGTAAGGGGGCAGCAAAAGAGAGATTAAAAGTAGCAGCACAGCAAAGTGGATTAACTAGCTGTTTCTAACCATACCTAGTACTCAGCTATCTGATGACAGGCAATGCCAGTACAATAAAAAATAGTTTATAGAGCTAAGGTCAGAGGTAGAGCTCATTCTGAGCACACCTTTAGGGTGTACCTAAGAACCCCTGTGAAGTGTGATGTCTAATGCAGTAAGGTTCTATGTCATTCTGGTCAGGTTCAGAGCAGTCAGCTATCTTTCTAGAATCATTGCCTTCTCACTGATCAGCCCTCAATGCTGAAACTACTCAGGTCTATGTGACAGGAAGGGCCTGCCACCAGTGAAGCTCTGAACAAGGTTTGTGCCCCAGCAGCAGAGAGTGAAATCTTTAATGAATGCACAGTAGCCTGGGAATATTTTGTTCTGTGGCTGAAATAAAGAACAAGTTAAGGCAAAAGAAGATGCTGAACGGCAGACTTGTCCCTCCTTCCAGATGCTACTTCCTTGCAGCCGCAAAGACCACAACAGATTCGCTGACTAGGAGGCTGTGTCCACCCTACACTGATGGTAGCCTGTAAACACAGCCTGGGAAATTACTAGTGTTTCTGAAAGAACAAAACAAACACAAAAAACCCATAGCATCAGTACAAAGAGGAGAAAAAAATCCTGAGAATTTGCTGAGTAATTTGAACTAGCAGCAGGCAAATGGGATCAGAGAGTTTGCCAGTCAAAACTGAAGTTAAATTGAAGAGTAACATATTTTCCCAGGCTGTCCACTTGCTTGACTTCCCTGAAGATGAGATGAGGACAGGTACAGTAGAACATCAATAAAGCTAACACGATGCAATCTCTATCTGCTGCATTAAGGTAATGCACATGGTTTCCAGCAGCCTTCACAAGTCCTCAGAACATCTCCGATTATCCACATAAGCCTCTCCAACCTCTGGCATAGGAGGAAGCTGGCTCTCCCATAAGAATTTCTGGGAAAGATCAGAACAGGAAAGAGGTTATTCTAGGTTTTTAGTCACTAAAAGTGCCCACTGATTGATTACAGCAGGCCAAACTCCCATGTCAGTCTAGCCAAACCAGTGAACAACTGACTAATCCAGAGACTGAAGTCTTAAGATCATCACCTTTGATAGAGATGATAGTCTAAATGCTGCTCCCCTGAGCTCAACTACTGCACTTTGTATTAAGGAGACCGAATCTGGGAGAAGGTGTATTTTGTCTGTACTGAACCATGAGATGGAAAATATCCTATCCAGAAGGGACGGGGATACTCTTGGTGTCAGGGAACTTTTGCTGGAGAGAGTGGACACTGAGATGGGGGTGCAAAACCACCCATGCAGTGACATATTCTGATATCCATACTCTGTTCCTACAGAACTCCTGCCAAACCTGACATTCCCAATGTTACCAGGAGGAGATGCGGTAGAGCTATGCCTTATGGTGAAAAGTAAGATAGCCAACTTGGTGCCAATGCTCCAGTGCTGCTCCAAGAGCCAACACAAACGTGTAATGGGGCAGTCTTGGGGGAAACAGCACATATATATGATACCTGCCCCAACTTTCACCATAAGTAACAAACAAAAAAAGATTAAGCTGATTATACTAAATGTCCTTTCTATGTATAGTAAAAGGAAGCAACAACAAAAAACTTTCCAGTCTCAAGTGGTAGAGTACTAACACACCCATATGCAAGCACAAGTGCAGAGGCATTAATAAAATTAAATACTTTAGAAGTCTCCTTTACTACCAGTATGTAAAATTTCTGGCGCTAGATGGGTGTCAAAGTAAGGTGGAATGAACTTATCTTTAAATTTCAACAGTCCCATTGACCTTAATAGCCTTTGGTTTATATTCTTAATTAGCAAGAAATGTCAGCTCCCAGCTACTCTTAATGTTTTAGCAGTCCACTGATTTAGTTTGGAAGCCACACTAATTACAGATACTACCCAAATGGCACAAAATCTTCAGTATAATCTCTTCCTCATTACTGTCTCCAGTTTCTCCCTGCTCTTCTCTTTCTCAATGGCTTTCAAATTCTCTTGTCTTTATGATGTGATTTAAAAAAATTTGTTTACAAAAGGCACCACCAGGGTTGAATGATCTCCATTATAATTTACTTTTAAGTTACTGGTTTACTTGACTTTCTAATTTATACTAATGGAAAATATTTGAATGAAATTATGTGTCAGACCATTTGTATATTTGCAAGACCTATCCTGCACATGAACCTTTCAAGATTTCCCTTATATTGATTGAAAGGACCATTAGACATTCAATTTGAGGGATTCCAAAGGAGGGCACTGAGGATTTCTATTTTTTGGTAACAGAAAGGCTTTCTCACATCAGCTTTCCTTGTCCATCTGCTCATGCTGCTGGTTGTCACCCCCCATAATACAGTTTACAACACTTCACAGTTCACACATCAGTTGTACTGATTATAACTATTTATAGGACTACATTACACATCATATCAGTAAAGTGATTGTGCTGAAATATCTTTTTTCTTTTTCCCTAGTCTAGATCATTCCACTGATCTGGTTCACAGTATAATGCTACAAACAATTGGCACAAACAGCAGTTTGGAAACCTGTGGGAACTTCTTAAGTGGTTTTACTGTTGAACAAAAACATACTGTAGAGCTACACCTTAAATTGTTAAAGTAAAGAGAAGGTGGTGTTACCTATTAGACATACTGGGTGCACATTATGCTGTGGGTTTTTTTCCAGTTTTGATATTCCCTCCCTCATAAAATTAAAATATTGAAATTATTTGGTTCACAGTTCTGTCATACATAATAGCAGCTGTATATTTCAGTATAAGAATGAATACAAAATACAAACCTGTGTAACAACAACTACTACAGCAATGCCAGTAGATGTTGGACTGGAATCCCACTGAAGAGGTCTGCCATGAGATTTCTTCATTCTGCCTATTGTCCAACCCATACATAGACTCAATAACAAATACAGCATTTGTATCTGCGAGACTATGTCACACACTATTGAAAACAAAAGAAAAATGAATAGAGTCACAATAAAAATAAAGTTCTTTTCCTAAAGCAAAGAGAAACTTTCTGCATATCCACAAACGAAGGATGGATGCTTACGCCTCTGTATCACCTTGTCATAACTTTGATGATAGTTTGACTAACTGAGGCTGCTTTGCCACAAAATGTGGATTTTTGTGGAGTTTCCAGTGACCAAACGGATCACTATCAGCTTTCCTCCAGTTATGCCTCAGTTCTGCAAGAACATGGGCACAGTACCACAACCTTCCAAATCCCACTCTTGTGTCAAAGTAGTCTGGGCTCAGGAGTCCACCTACATAGACAAACTTATAAATGCTAAAGAACTAAAATCATATGTATGTTAATCATGCTGCAAATATGAAACATGATGAAATGAACTCCTTTCGTCGCTCTGAAGAACTTCTGTTAAAATATCAGATAGTTGCATTGTACTTTAATTCCACTTTGTCTTAAGGATGTAGTAGCTTGCAAAAGAAAGCACAAATATTTAGGACAAATTCCACTCTGAAATACTTAAAAGGGAAAATATAATGAACAACCCTAAAACAAACTTCATTTAGAGCAACAACTTGTCTGTATTTAATTTTATGAAATGCAAAGCACCTTTGCTTCATTTTGCTATGTCCGTTTTTACGTCTGTTTGGGAACAATTAACACATACTCCATAAAGTTACAGTCTTAATCAGCGTCTCAAACCTGTGTTTGAAGCTGTATGAAATTGTATCTGAATAAAGAAAACTTCAAGCTAGCATATATTAAAGTCTTCAGTTGTTAGCCTCACTGTAGTACTACTGACAGTAGAAAACCCTGAAGATTTCTTTCTGGGTGATTGTTAGCTTTAGTTTTTTGACTGAAACTTACCAAACCATTTAAAAGCTGGTGTTGGGATCTGACCCATTTTACTGGCACAGAACAGACATACAAAAAATATTGATTCTTACACTACGTAAATCGTAAATTCGGTTCAGAAACTAGAGATTGGGCTCTACACACAGTGATGCTTTCTTTTTTTGCTTAATTAATATTTCAGTTCAACTAAATTTGTTCCATATTTGTAATTTTCACTTAGACTTGCAGGTACAAGAGTAGTATTTCTGCCACAAAAAAGCATAGTTCTATTTTTATACAAGTGGACTGTATTAAAAAAGATAAATGTACTTCCACATTTAATAATAATACTGGCACAGAAAATACTGCCACTGTACAGAGATTAATATGGATACAAGGGAAGTGTGTCAAATGAAGATCAGTTGCAATATTTCCCTGACATTCAGCAATACTAGCAAGATACGGATATAAAACAGGCTTCAACATGTAATTCCTGGATATGTTTGGTATTCTCACAGTTTATATGCTTAAATGCTTCTTAATGTATTCTGACACCTTTGTTGTTTAAGATATATCAAGAGCTTTTAGTAAATACAAACTTGATAATTCTTTAATAAAATGAACCAGCAATGATTTGGGCAAAATCATCATGGAATTATTTTCCGATGCTACCTGTGGGGACACAATACTCACTAGAAAAAGAATTGTTACATGAACCCAAGGTATGCCAAACCAGCGTCACAAATCCAAACTCGAGAAATGACAGAACAAATCTGGATGTTCTAGGAAGCATTTTATTTTCTGTCACTCCTTAAGACAACCTGCCCTTTAAGTAATAGCCAGACGTCATCTTTCAATCACATCTTGGAGATAGATTTTGCTCTGCTTCAGTGTGGCAACAATTCAAGTGGATTCACAGACAAAATTGTGTAAGACAAAAATTCAGTATTAATCTTGGACATCTAATACACCTTGCTAGAAAGTAACACGGATGAGAAAAATTTTAAAAATTACAATAATCCCATGATATCCACTGTCAGTGTAAAGTCACATTTTACTAAGCTGATTCCATAACTGTCTGATTTTATCACAATTAATCTTTTTTGGCTATTCAACAGGCATAATAATAGTCTTTGACTTTTCACATTTCATTCTTACCAAATGTTAAAAGACCACTATTTGCAATGCTTCTGAATGCCAGCATTACTTGTGTCATTTATGTGATTTGCTTAGGCGATAAATTAGACTGAGGATCATACACGGTAAAGACTAAATCATATTAGGAACAGAATAGCGTTTGAACAGGCTTTGGAAAAGCCATTCTGGCTCCACTGCAGTTAACAGAAATTTTAACATTTATTTCTAACTCTGATTTCTGTTGTGATACAGGAAACATGGTAGCACCCTCAAACTATACTACTTGCCATCAGCTACTCTTCTGAATTGTTACGGCCACTGAAGCTTTCCCCCTTTCTATTACTTCTGCTCTTTTACTGTTTTGGAAAGCACAAACCTCAAAGAGAGAAGGAAAGGAAAACTTTCTTAACCGAATTTTAGAAATTCAGTTATTGATTCTGAATATTCATATTGAATATTCAAATATTGTTTTGTTCATTATAATGTTTGCTTTATCCAAATAAAGGTGGGCTCTTGACTACAACATATACACAGAAAATCTAACATGCAGCTATTCTCTCTGAAGTTCTGGCTGGATAGTTAACACTGGGGAGGAATTATCCCTACTTCTATATTCTCCATTTTAATTTCATTTCATGAGAGGCAAAGTTTATTAATACAGTTGCTGGAGAGGCTGCAAGGAGCTGCTAACTCAAATGGTTAAAACAAGAAAGAGGCAATTACTGTGGTACCAAGTGCCATCAAGAGGCTGCTAATTCCAACTGCAGGCTTCTAAATGAACTCTACAAAGGGAAATATTTTTCTGGTTGTTACTTGCCAACACTATCTCACAAACAAAGTAATACTTTCTTTGGGTTCTTCAAGTCAATCAAAAGCCAATGTATTTGTTTAGAAAGAACCTCCAATGATTCAAGTGTGAGCTACAGGAAAAAAAGCCAAATTACCCAAGAACAATGTTTAATACTGAAGAATCCAACAGGAATAAGTTTGTGCATTTTGGAAAGGGATATTATAGGAATTTAGTTCCGGTGAGAACTCAGACTATCTATACAGTAAAGAAAAATGCTTTTTTAGCACCAAAACACAAGTGTTTTTTGCATCATGCTAATCATATAATTCATGCTGTAAAACACTTTTTCATTACAATAATTGTTAATTTGTTAGTGAAATGACACACTTGATAAAATTTTACTAAGTTTCCTAAACAGTTTGCCTCTCTAAATCATGCAAACACATAAAACCCTTCCATGTACTGAAACATTTTACTCATATGATAGGTATGTGTTTCAGTGTTTGTATGAAGGAATCTTGAGATAAGAAGATCCTTTGAAAAATCCTAAACAATATCCCAATTGTACAATTTCAAATACAGTTATTGTAAACACCTGAAAACCATGTTTTTTTCTTTTGGAACAGCAAACCAATTTTTAGTATTTTGTATTAAAAATCCAGTGATATGGTCCAAGATCATAATACAGTCCAATAACAGCATTTGCTAATGTATTATACAGATTCACGTGTAGGAATACGTAAGAAACAGAAGACAAGCATACTCACATTCTGCCAGACTTCCCATAAAAGGAGCTCCTATCCCATCTTTAGAATAACTGATAAAAGAATAAAAAGGTTGTATTTTTAAGTGGATGTGTCTTAAATGCATGTTCTCTCATTAAAAGTACATTTAGGCAATGATGCAGTTCAAAGGTCAGTCCTGTGTTTTGTCACAGTCATTACAGGCAAGACCATGTACTGATCTTTACAACGCACTGTTCTTCAAGTCTAAAGACTGAAAGAAAAAATGGCCAAAGATACCTTGAAAAATGCAGGTAGTTGGCAAAAGCAGAACCAGCCTGCAACAGTAATGCAATTGTCAACACCTTTAACACAGCATGCATAGGTCCACGCTTCTTAATTGTCTGCCATAGGGATTGTGCATATATGCAAGCAGTTACGAAGTATGCTAGGACAAGCAGGAAAAAGAATTCATGTAATCCTGTGAAAAAGAAGAAATACAGCTTAGTTTTTCTAAAGAAACATTTATACTAGCAGAAAACTACTAAATCAAAATAGATTTTTTTTTTAATATATAAACATTGGAAAATACTTAGCAACTATCATCCAAAAGCAGCTGTACAGACAAAATGTCTAAATCCTAGTCAATTTTATCCCAGAAAGTCAGTGTCTTTTTTTCAGAGAGCTGATTATTGTTTGATCTGACAAAGTATTTTTTATTCGACAATACCTTTTCTGAGCATAGGAAATGTTTCCAGCAATTACGGAAATAGGATAAAGTGGAATACACTTTCTTGATACACAGAAGATAATTGTAGCCCATTTGATCAGTCAGAAGCACACTTCAACTAAAGGACTCAATTTTAGCTCTTTTGTTTGTTTCAGTTTGTAGAGGCACAATCTGAGATGAAGGAAACCCAGAACAGACTTCTATTTAATCTTTTTAACCACTGGGTGTCACTCTTTCTCTGCATAAAGTGGTTCAAAAAGTACGGCTGACCAAGCCCCAAAAGTTTTAGATAAAGAAAAAAACCAGCACAAATAATAGAAAACAATAATTAGTCCTTAGTGTGAATTCTTTTGCAGTAGTCTAAAAAAAATTTCCAAAGTTTTTTAGATTATTTACAAAATCGAAGTCCTCTAATTTTCAGTCTAGCAGTAGTCTGGTAAAATGCTTCCCTTAAGACCTGGAAATCATTTTTATTGTCCATAAGCTTTGCAACCCATCATGAGCTCCCAAAGGATCAAAGCCAGTGAGCTACAGGCAAAAACAGGTAAATAAATATTCCTCACAGAAAACTTATGTTTTCCTTCTCCAACCTTCCTTGAAAACTAGTGGTGTCCACAGATTCCAAAAAATGTTTTTCCTCCAGCAGCAAAATAACTCTGCTAAAAGCTTCCAACCAGTTTCACCCTGAGACTGTGAAGAGCAAGTATACATGTTTCAGTATCTAAGCTGAAAAACATTAGAACTGGATGAGTTCTAAATAGTTGCTTGCATTATAATTTCTACAGCTAAAATTAAAGACTTTGGATATACATACAGTGAAATGGGAAAAAAGAGCCTAACTTCATATAGATTCTTAAAAAATTCAGGGCCACCCTTTTTCTTTTACACCAATACAAAAGCATGATTTATGAAGGACAAAAATATGTGGTTTAGATAAAATCACTTTTTCTTTCTGTCACTATCTCTCTGCTTCAGAAGACACCCACTGAAGTTGGCAGGGATTCAGAAAGAAAAGTTGTTTCTTACCGTGATGAGTGAGTACACATGGAAAACTCTTTAGGAAAATCAACTAGCTTTTAATAAACACTAAACATTTATGATAGAAAGCTCCTTCCAACCATAAACAGAGTGTGAACTATTGGCTTGAGACCAGAAGGAGTTAGGAGAAAACTGCACTGAAAACCAACTATAAAAAATACAGAAACGTAATTTTCAATCTGTCTTCTCTAAGTTTCCTGACTTTCAATGAACATAGAATTGACAGAGAAAATAAAACATATATACCTTAATTTAAAATTCCCTAACTTCAAAGGTCTTCAAAATGCTGTCTACCTGTTCAGCTGCCTTTAGAAACCCTAGATTGCACCAATACCATATCTTAGGTAACAAAACCCCTACCGTATAAAATGATAAAAGATTACTTGCCAGGGATCAGAAGTCAGGCCTCTTCATCTCTCAAGGCAAACATCTTAACCACAAGGTGACAGTCTCAAGTTCTTTCCTATGCTTTCCTTACAGTCTATTTAATTTTTAGATCTCCTTTGCCAGGCCACAGATTAAAGTAACTAAAGTGAAGGATGACCTAACTAAAACTGTATGTAACTATGTAGTTTTCAGTTGCTTGCATGAAAGAAGCAAGAAATGAAGCTGGATCTTCCCTCTGATACCCTCATGTTTTAAGTTTCTATGGAAAAATGACAAAGATTATTTTCCAAAGATGCATAAAAAAACTAAATTAAAAATGAGAGAGATATTAAATTCTCCTCAGTTCTTTGAAAGCAGATGTGCATGTGACTTCAGGATTCATGGCAATGATGCAGGTTTTAATTCTGAATAAACAGAGGTGTCCTTTTGCAAATGTGGAAGACGTGGCATATACAGCTCACCTTGCTTCCTACTTGTTAGATCTAAACACATGCATCCAGCACATTTACACACCTCAGAGTGTAAGCTGTTCAGAGAGTTCTACTTCCAAGTGCTCAGTCTTCCTACAAAATTAGTACAGAGCTCAGATGCCTCTCTAGAAGGTCTGTACACCACTTTAAAGTTAAAGGGCCATATGATGTCTTGTAGCTGCTTTGCCCCTTGATTTAGCAAAAGAATGCTATTACTCAAAAAGAATGCTACTACTATTAAATTACTATCTTATTATCAAAAGAATGCTATTACTCAAAAAGCTTATGCTTTTTGAGAATAAGTAAATTAACTTAGAATTCACTTCTGAATACCAAATTCATCAAATAAAAACTACCAGCTAAGTTTATAGAATAAGAAGTTAAAGAGAGAGGTTAAATCCAGTTATAAGCCTTGAAAAACACATGATTAATGTGCTACTTTCTTACAGATTCTGCTAAATGTTCCAGCGAATATTTTCTTCCTTTCAAAAATGGAGCTGCCTTTGTTCCCTCTATATCCTCTTGGGACCACGAATGACAGCAGGGCATTTGATTCTGAACACAGCAATTAGGCTCATTCTGGGTATGTAGGTTCTACCTGTATAAGAAGGCACACTAAGCCTATAGGGCCCTTCTCTCACAACAAACCCAGGTCAGTGAGACATTGATGAGGCCTCCCAGAGCAGTGATGCTACACACTGCAACAAAGCATCAGGCTGGATTGTCCAAAGCACACAATTTTGTGAAAGCATTTCTTTATCTGCTGTCTCAAGTCACTTCAAGTAATTTTTCCTTGGACATGTGAAGATATAAAATTGCATTTCTTAAATGAAAGAAAATCAGGACTGGCAAATCTGATCTACAGCCTGTGACTAAGACAGGAAAATCTAAACATTGAACTGGAATTGTACTAGCAAAATGTTTTATCGTGCATGTACTCGTGTTGCACAGAATCAAGTTTCACACAGCTATTACACTAATTCATTAAAATCAGGGATTAAATTCACATTGAAGTGGGATATTAGAATTTCAAGATGGTAAAAATACCGATCAGCAAAGATGTTAACACTAACTTTCCTTGTGTATACATACTTCCATTTAGGCGAGTTTTGGAAAGTCAGTCTAAAGAAAGGAAAGGATTTTTCTGTACTGACAGTAAATGTAGTTTACTCTCCATGAGAATCCAGAATATGGAATATAAAAAGACTCAGCTATCCATTCCCCATACTCTTCCAAGCATAATAAGTACTGATTTGAGTGATCAGATCCTTAACTTACAAATCTAATTTTAAGAAAAAAAATCTTACCCGATTCCCCTGCGCTAAAGTGATCTAATGGATTCCCTTCTGCATCTGGGTTTAGTAAGACCATTTCAAACTGAATATCCTCGGATTCAGAATAATTCTCCTCGCAGGTAAACTTGTCTACATAAAACACATACCATGTTTCCGGATAAGGAATCTGGGACACTGTCAGATTTTGCTCTGTGTGGTTCACAGTCACTTTGGAAGAAAACAAAGAAACAAAAGTACATATTTGATTAGTTTGATTTTATAAAACTCATCTTTGAATGAAGATAAAACTTAAATCCACAACATAATGTACAAGTTATAAACTACACACAATAGAAAACAGTTTTGAAAGCTAGCCATAACACCAGAGGCCAGATCTCCAGCTTCCGCTTTTGTTTCAAACAGGCGCAGGCAAGGGTTGGTGAGGGTACACACCGCATTCCACCTCTAAGCTTTTAGCTTTGCTGGGAGGGCTCCCTTCTGCCAGAAGTCAGTAACTGCAAACTATGTCTCCTATGCTTAGCACACTTCCATCCTCCAGAGGAGTATTGACAGGATTAGCTATTCTGTACTGCCCAGTAGGTACTTCTGTAGCATGAAACACACCTTTGTGAAATTTACTCTACTCTGTTTTCAAAGGGATTTAGAGCACCAGACAGGAACAGCTGCATGTGAGCTCTGTAAACAACAGCATGCATGTTTCAAAGGTGCAAGGTAGCATATTTCACAGCACCTTCCCCAAACTGCAATACAGTAAATTTCAATTGACAGTTAAGGACTGAAACCATTGCTAAATAAAACTGTGGATTTCAATCAGATTACACTTAAAAACAACTATGTAAGAGACTGATATTTCATCTGTTCACTGGTCTTGCCTTTTTTTCCTAAAAGCAACAGTTAAGGAAGTACAATCTCTCCAAAACAGACTCTTGAGGCAGATGAAACCTGTGGCTCTTTATGTTTGGGTGAAACTGCAAGAACTGTAAGTATTGTTACATTACACTGATTACTGAACTGCAGTGGTAATCAGCTCAACCATAAATGAAAGCCACCTCTGTAGGAGAAATAACAATATCATGGCTGGACTGTAGATTAATTCACCTTAATAGTTCAAGACAACAATGGCTAGGAATGAAGAGAAAATTTTCACCAAAATCCCTACAAAACAAAAAGTTTTTTTATGAAAAGCTTTTCTAAATGAAAAAGCTGCAAACATACATACGAAACAACCCTCTAACAAACTCATTTCCCCTAAATATTTTGTAGACAGAATTTAGAACTAATTTCTAAATGAAAGCCTACCTGTGAAAAACATTTATGTAATTCAAATAAACTTGTTTCAACTACAAGAAGTTATTTTCTGTTCTCTGAAGGTATGAACTGATCAACATTAGAATCCAGGAAGAATCATTCTATAGGTTTCTTTGCAGCAATTATCATGAAGTACAAGTCTGGACAACACACAAACCAGGATTTCATATGGTGCTTAATCCAAATGAAAGGCAAACAGCGGCTGACAGGAGTGGCTTTACTTTCCATTTCAACTCTCAGCTGAGTTCTGATACCGTGTTACTTGTGTCGAGACTAAGGATCACACAGAGCGTGTTTAATCAGTTTTCCATCAAATCTGCAAGCTAACTCAGAGGAACTGAAGTAAGATAAAACAAATAAGTAATCAATTTTGCCCAGTTTCAGCAAACAGATCCAACTCACCCTGTGGTCATACAACTGCTAAATACAGCAGAAAACAGCAAGTACACTGCTGGGACAGTCAGGAATGATGGACCAACTGCTAGTTATTTTAGCAACATTTCTGTGCAGCTCTTGTCAAGTGTAAGGAAACTATACCCTTAGAAGTGACATCTGTATAAGATGTCATTATGACCATGTTACAGGAGATCAATCTGTTACTCAAGGGATTCCGGCTGCACAGAGGAAACGTATTTAAAAGAGAAGCTGTAGTCACTTAAGATATATTTGAATGAAGCTTCTAATATTAATTTCTTAGAGGAAAAATTATGCTTTAATTAAGTTTGGTACTATTACAATTAACAAATAATACAAAAATTATTATTTCATGCTGTTTGTCTTCTAGTAACATAATTCAATGCTTCACTGTTATACCATTCTTTCACATTTAGGTGGATACTCGTTAAGCTTTATCTTGATTAGCTCATCTTTGATACTGCATTAAAAATTTTCTAACATGTTTCGTAAATCAAAGCGTGATGGGTTTGTGCTATCATAGAAACATAATTTTTTTTTTTGTTTTCTCAGCTTTGAAAATGATGTTTCCATGGAACTGGAGAACAGAAGCCTCCTGACAAATGAGAAATGTTCCTTTGTAAACAAGAGACAAAAAGACAACCTATATACTGTATACTGGTATAAGTCTCAGATGAAATATTAAAAATATTTGAATGTGAGATTTAGTGATGAATATTAAATTACAAAATTAAGGGGTGAAAGAACATTGAGTTATAATAGAGATAAGTTATAAAGGAAGGCAACACAATGCAGATTTTTTTTTTCAGAAAAGAAAAACTTATTATGAGGTAGTTTAAGAGAAAGTTTGCAGGTACAAAATTACCCTTTTACTTGGTACCTGGGATACATACTCCCACCTTACAAGCATTCACTTCAGAAGTTTAGAGGTAACTGTAACAGATTCTAGCAGTTTGTCTCTACTACTACTACTATTTTTTTTCAGCCCACTGCAATAAAAGTTACAACTCAAACTGTATATTTGACTGTCCCAAACATTTAGATTCTCAAGTTCTTCAGTTTCATTGGAAAATGGTTTTCTCTGTAAATTCTTTCATATACTCACGACAACCCTTTTTCAGAGAAAATTAGAGATTAAAAAACCAAAAGGACAGACTTTTACTCCAAGCATAGTTTAAGAAAAATCTCTCTACTGAATGACTAAATGAAAACTTCAGCCAAATGTGTACCCTTTCTGAGTTGTGAACAAGTGAGAGCATGAGGCTAGAACTAGTCATAAAGTTTGGTTGTTCACATTACATTCATTATTTGTCAAGGATTTAACTTTCGAGGAGTATATACTAGGAGCCCCTGGTGGTCTAGTGGTAAAGGCGCCGCGCTATCACCGCCGAGACCCGGGTTCGATTCCCGGTCAGGGCCACTCCCGGGCAGGTGGGGCTCGTTAGCCCTTAAAGGCAACCCACCTACGTCCTGAGGACCTCGCTGCCACCGTCCAAGCTCGCTTGGCCCCGGCAGATGAACCTTAGGATTAAAGGGTGGGCTCAGTTCCGCGCACACTGTGTCTCACCTAAAAAAAAAAATCCAATGCGCAGGCTGGAAGGTGTAAAGACCTTCCCCAGATCTTCGCTCGCGAAGACTGGCCATTTATTATTAGTATATACTAAATCATAGCTTGAAAACAAAGTCTTCTGAAGTGATGCAAACAAAGCAACTTTATTTCCTTGTAGTATTTTCTAATTGCAGAAGGCCAAAGTCCTGGTTGATGCAAAAATTTACTGAAATAGATATTCTAAACACATAGACAACTTAGCAGGGTTCTAAATACACCAGTAACTTAATTTATAGGGGGAACAAAGTGGCAACTCACTTGTCAGCTGAGCTTTAGAGAACGTCCCTGTACAGCTGTGATCTTGGATATTGTTCTGCAGCTTCTGCCATTCCTGTGCTTGAAAGAGGTGGAGCCTGGCTGCTTTTGTCACAGCTACTGCCACATTCTTGATTCTCACACACAGAACAGCATGGTCACCTTGATATTGAAAAAATAAAATCAATTACTCTACCTGGATGTCAGTTACAAGCAATCTGTGTGGCACAGATTTTTTATAAGTAGCCACACTACAGCTTCACATCATTTCTTAAATTTTTACCACTATTTCCTAACAAAAGTATTTATGGACTTTCAGGAACAATTTCTATACATCTCATTAAATGAACACCGCATGCACGATTCCCTATGATGGCACTTAAATAAACCTTCAACTAACTGAAATGTCATTAGCCTTCTCTACTACAAAAGCCTTCCTTTGCCTCCCCTTCCCCCTCTTTTTTTTAAACAGACTTCCAGATACCTTTTTTCTTCTTTCCTTCCTCGCACCCCAAATTTTATTTTCTCAAGTTAAAGACAGTGCCTCAATAGTCTCAAACACTGGTTCAAAGTCTAGTATTTTATGACCTTAGTGGTATGATTACGATCATCGTGGGTAGCTCTTAAGAGAGCTTAAGAGAAATACCAGAAGACCTTATGTAAATGGACTTACAGGTTATGGATGGATTAGAGCTAAATACGTAATTGCAGAGATGATAGATGTCAAATTGATACAAAGAAAATCAAACTCCGAAAGTGTTCTCTAATGTGTCAATCTATGTACAGAATCACAGAATGGCAGAATGGCCTGGGTTGGAAGGGACTTCAAAGAAGATTTAGTTTCCATTTTCCCTGCCATGGAAAGGGATACTTTCCACTAGACCACATTGCTCAAAGCCTCATCCAGCCTGGTCTTAAAACACTTCCAGAGATGGGGCATCCACAATTTCTCTGGACAACCCGTTCCAGTGCCTCACCACCCTCACAGTAAAGATTTTTTTCCCTAATATCTAATATAAACCTACTCTCTTTCAGTTTGAAACCACTACCCCTTGTCCTGTCACTACAGGCTGTGCCCTGACACACAGAAATATTTCAGTCATTTTAGAACGAGCTAATTTGACACAATTTATCTTGTCTGAGTAATTCTACAATCCTCAAACTTATTTTGATAAATTCTTTCATATAATGCCATAGACTTCTTTAACATAAGAGTATCCTAAATTAAAAGGTAGAATTCAATGTAGAAGAAAAATCAGTTGGTACTGCAAGAGCACAAACTCCATTCAAGTTTATGCAAGCTTTGAATGTTTATCTGTCAGAGTAACCTTCTTTTCCCCTAACCTTGGCATTAGCTAAATGTGAGTCAACAGACTAGTACTAATTTCAAATAAGGACAGTTTGCCTGTTCACAGCCAGCTGCAAGACACTGATCCTGCAAGAAAACCTCATATAAGGTGATCTCCTGATATCTGTAAAACATTGTATGAACTCCAGTTTGCCTAAGATTTTGAACTATTTAAAAAAAGTTTCATTAAGACCCAAGGTAGTTGTTGGTATTCATGAAAAAGAGAGTATTTCTAAGTAAATACGCAACATCGATGTACAGAATTATACCTGAACACTAACACAACTCATCTTTAATCTTAACAGTCTTTCCTCAGATTTAAGCAGTGCACTTTTTTTTCCCTTTAGATCTATTTAGAGCACTTCTACAATTACCTTCTAGGACAGTGATAATTAACTGCTTTCAAGTCACTCCACAAGCTATCTCCACCCCATCTATCATCTCTCATTCAGTGCTGGGAGGTCACACTCCAACTCCGTTTGGTTTACGTCACGTTTTCCTTCATCCCATTTGATTTTCAAGCTTTCCGCAAAACTCTTTCTGCCATGAGGCTCAATGGGCAAGAAAACAGCCTAAGCTACTGAAATGCCGGGCATCCAGGAAAAGTCTGCTGACCATACATGGCACTCGTCATGCCTTTTTGTACACATCCTTCTGCAGAGTAAAACTTCTGCAGCAAGACAAGTGGTTTCCAACCTTCTGGAGTGGCCTTTCCAACAGGATCCCAGCTCGCTGCTAGGCCTCTTAGCCAGCAGTCAGGAATTATTACTAAGAAGGGGTCAGTAACACAGGAAAGAAAAGGCATTGGGAATAACCAGGTGGGACTTCACATCCTGACGCGTGGTGACACCAGGAGCACCCGGCGATGGGGCACAGCCACCTGCAGCGCTGGCATCGCTGCCTCTTGGCGGGGGCCCGGGAGGAAAGGAGGGATGCGTGTCACAGCTGAAACGCCTGTGCTCTCCCGGACACTGGGACGGGAGTGCCCACCCCAGGCTGCGGGACACGAGGGGACGCCCGACGCTCCTCCATCCCTCACGAACAGCGCGGGGCTGCTCCCAACTCTTGCTTCCAAGACAAGCCCCGTCACGCTCCGGACGGGTCCCACTGCTGGCCGAGCTGCCCGAAACAGCGGATAGGACCTGCTGAGCGTCCCGGCGGAGGGAGTGTGGGAAGGAGAGAGGGAAGGATGGGGAGCTGCGGGGCTGACCCGTTCCCCGCCCCGCGGCTCCTCCCGGGATGCCGCCGCTCCCCCCGCTCCTCACACCCCCCGCAGCCGCGTTCCCGGACGGCGCAGCCGCTCTCCCGCTCCCCGCCCTCGGGGCACCCACCGTGGAACTGGAAGCGCGCCACGGGCCGCCACGGCTCCAGGCGGGCGGCGGCGCTGCCGAAGCCGCCCCGGAGCGTCTTGCCCGCGGCGGGAACCCAGCAGCAGCAGCCGGCGGCGGCGGCGCAGAGCAGCCACAGCAGCCGTCGCCGCATCCCCGGGATCGGGACGGGGATGGGATGGGGATGGGGATAGGGACCCGCCGAACCCCGCGATCCTCCCGTCCCTCCTCCCGTCCCTCCTCCCCGCGGTGCCCCGCCGGGTCACGTGACACCCCCGGGCCGGCGCCAGTGGGAGGGCGCGAGCGCAGCGAAAACCAATGAGGGGGCGTGCCCGCCCCGGGGGGCGTGGCCGAGGGCTAGGCCCCGCCCCTGCCGCAACGTGTCCCGTTGCCCGGCCCGGACGTAAGTGGAGAGACTCGGTGTCGTAAAGGAGGTGACGTCCGTCGGTTCGCTGGAGGCGAAGTTTTGGCGTCCTGCACAGGCCGTGCCCGCGCCGCTGCCCTCGGGGGCGGCGGGAGCTCTGCTCTCTGGGCCGCGGAGGGAACGAGGAGGGCGATTTTTCAACGAGCCTCTCGCGGGTCTCGCTGCCACCCTGTCCCGTGAAGCCCCCGGGCCGGTGCCGCGCACGCGCGGCCGTGTGGGGGGAGAGGGGCGGGGAGGGAGTGGTGCCGTAAAGCGCGGGCGATGTCGGGGCTGGCGGGCTTGGCGGCGCCGGTGGCCTTCGAGAAGCGGCTCCTGGTGACGGGCGGCGCCGGCTTCATGTGAGGGAGGGAGTGGGAGTGGGAGTGGGAGTGCTGCTCCGCCCCGGCTCCTGCCGGCGGGCACCGCGGAGACGCGACGGGCCCGAGTCCCGCCGTGCCCGCTCCCTTGTGCTCGGCCTCCGCCGGGATTGTGGCTGTACAGGGAAGGGCAGCGGAGCTGGCGAAGGGTCTGGAGCGCAAGTCCTCTGAGAAACAGCGGAGGGAGCTGGGGGTGTCTAGTCTGGAGAAGAGGAGGCTCAGGGGAGACCTTATCGCTCTCTACAACTGCCTGAAAGGAGGTTGTAGCCGGGAGGGGATCGGCCTCTTCTCCCAGGCAGCTAGCGACAGGATGAGAGGGCTTCGCCTCAAGCTGCGCCGGGGAGGTTCAGGTTGGACATCAGCAGGAACTTCTTCACAGAAAAAGTCATTGGGTATTGGAATGGGCTGCTCAGGGAGGTGGTGGAGCCACTGTCCTTGGAGGTGTCCAAGAAATGAGTGGATGTGGCACTCAGTGCCACAGTGCAGTTGACAAGGTGGTGATTGGTCATAGGTTGGACTTGATGATCTCAGAGGTCTTTTCCAACCTGAAGGATTGCGTGTGATTCTGTGGGTTGGAGGTCACAGTGCTTTGAGGCAGCTGCGATTTCCCGTGTCAGCCCCACAGTGGTGTTGGCTCTGCTGGAGTCAGAAAGACGTCTCGTCTCTCTTAAGCTTGAGCCTGTCAGTGAGCTTGGAGTCAGAAGCTGTGAGAGGATTAGATTTCTGTGTGTGAGTAACCCCCGCTAAACCTGAGCCCTTGGGCTGAGCTTCTTGTACACAAGAGACTGTGCCGAGGAGGAAATGCCACCTGGTTGTCTGGCTTGTCACTTCTGGTTGAGCTGAGTGATGGGAGTCAGTATGATGGGTTAGGAGAGCTGACTTTGGTTCTCCCTGATGCCTAATGTACAAACTAGAGAGTGTAAAAGTATTTTAGAATGGCAGTTGAAGCATAGCATTTAACAGTTTGTGAGGTTTTTTTAATGTGGTGGTGAGGAATGCTGATTTCTTTCATTATAGCATGAATTTTATTCTGATTTTTAGTTTCTTAACAGTATGCAGTTATGTATACAATATAGTAGAATAATATACAGAGTATATGTTAGAGTAATGTTGATGTATCTTATATATTTGAATTCCTTCTTCACCTCTCTTGAGTATAGCCCCTTCTTCCCTTAAGGACTTTTGATATCGCTGAACTTATTTGTAATTTGTCATCTCTTTGTTACCTTAAAGCTGAGTGTATAATTGTAAAATATGTTTTTCTTCTATCCTGCAGTGCTTCACATGTAGTGGTCTCTCTCGTGAAAAACTATCCAAACTATCTGATTATAAATTTAGATAAGGTAATAACTTGTTTTCTTTCTTGATATGGAAAACTGTCTTAAATGATTTTTGATGCAGACTGTAACATGTTGAAATTTATATGGTCTATTGTTAGTTACTATTTTTTGTTTGATATTCCATTTGTTCCTGTGCAAACAAAAAAAATCAACTGCTCTTCCTGTTCCCACGACAAATAATTATTTGATTAAAAAAAAAGAAAGAGGGAAGCTTTTCAAGCTCTAAACTTACCCTAAGTGCAAAAATTCTTAAATGTATCTTTTGAAGTTGTGTTTTTAAAGCTTAATCACATCTGCTTGTGAAATAGGTTTTCTTTTGAAATAAGTTTTTACTTTGTTCTTATACTTTCTACTGATTAGGTTGGGTTTGAGTTAGCTTATTTGCTTGCATGAAGCCCACTTACTGATGTTGTGTGGTTATTTCTCTTTAGCTCGACTACTGTGCAAGCTTGAAGAATCTTGAAACTGTCTCTGGGAAGGAAAACTACAAGTTTATCCAGGTGATAAAGCCTTCTCATCTAGCAACTTGACTTTTTACTGACTTTTATCCCTTTGTGTCCCAGTTAATGTGGTCTGCAGAGGTCCCCAAAGTGGAAACCACTGCTTTCATTTATGATGAAGTTGAAATTACTTCAGCTCCTTCATTGTCAGAAATGAGTCAGTGTATGTAATATGCCAATATACGTGACAGTCAGACAGACATAAGAGCATTTACTTCATCTGTTGTCATGTTAATAGCCTTTGTATTTCATCCACAGAAGTCTCTGACCATATACAGTATATTCTGTCTTTTACATGAGATAGTCTTTGAAAAGTTGGTATATTTGATTGTATCATAAAGGTATAGAATTGATAAAAGTGCATTTTTGAGATGAGTGGTTTTAGGGATGGTTGTTTCACTTTTAATATGTGCTGTGGTCAAGACAGACTTAGATGCAGCTCTTCTGTGCTTCTCTGATGCTGTCATAGACTTTGAACCTTTAAAATCTGCTGCTTGTCGTATTCCATGGTGTGCAACACACTGTTGTTATGTTTGTACTGGACATCAGGCTACGTGCTTGCTCGTGCTGCTGTTGATGCTCATAGAGTTCACAGTCATTTTGGAATGGGGTTTCATGCTAAAATTCAAGGTATACTTTTTCTTTTTAAAATGTTGGCACATTAAGTTTGTTTTCAAATAGGAGATTGATTCTGGTTTATTGCTCAGATGAGCATTCTGACTGTTGGGCTTGTATGCTGAGGTTCTTCCTCTCTACCATAAAGTCAGTGCTGATGCTGGTCTCTCTGTCTTGAGGACTGTCCAAGGCTGCAGAACATCTGAGAAGTGCATGTAGTTTAGTTTTCTGAAATAGCAACGTTGTCAGAGGTAGTATATGTACCTTATCTTTTTTCTTAGATTCAGGTGAAGTTGGGAGTTGAATTTGCCCTCACCTGTTTGGTGACCCCCAAGGGTGTTTATGTTTCTGTGACCCTACCCCTTTGTTTCAGATAAGGAATTATCTCTGAGCTATTGGGATAAAAATTGTGTGAGGGGAAAGGGACTGTCTGTATGCAGATGTGCACATATATGCAGTTTCAGCCAGACTGGCTTTTTGATTATTTTTCCTAAGGTCTTTGGCTGTTCCCACTACTATATGATATGAAATGTATGAGTGCTGTATAAAAGCCTTGTTAGCTGGATAGATATTAGCATTTAAATGCTGAGGAGAGCATGGAATTCTAGAAGACAGCCACTAAACAGTCAGATCCCTGTGTGAAGCAGGGGAACAGTAACAAGGAATGATGTGGTTATACTGCTTTTGAACTAGGGTAGGAATGCCGTGTCACAAAACTTACACGAGTATAAATAATTTCAACCTTTCAGTGTGTTTAGCTTTTTTTTTTTTGTTTTGTGTTTTGGTGCATGTATGTTTTTGTTTTGTGGTTTTTTTGAGTGTGGGTTTTTGTTTGTTTGTTTTTAGGGACAGTTGGTCACAGCTTAACATACAATTGATATGCAACCAAGCCGTTTGCACAGACAGGAAAAAGTACCCTTAAAAAAATAATCTCAGATGTGCAACTCCTTTGATTAGAAATATAACACTGTTACTGACCTTAGGAGACAGCAAGAAGGATATACGCTCCAGTGGTATTTTAAAAGGAAGCCTGTTTTGGAAAGTAGAGAAGTAAAAGTTCAGTAAATTTGCATCAGGGGCTGTGTAAAAGATAAATTTTTATCACAATTTTTGTTGTTGCTCATCACAGATGTAGTAAGCTTTAATTTCAGTTTAAAAAAAAAATCAGTAATTGTAGCCATTTAGTTCAGAATAATGTATGAGCCTGAAGTGTATTTACTGGAGTGTATCACTTTTATTCAGGGATAAGAAGTAGGGAAATCAGTTCACCTTCCTCCCATTTTTGACATAGAATACTTCTTTGAGGCTGTTGTTCAGAACTGTTACTTGAGAACTTCTTGAAACATAGATACATTTGAACTATTTTTAGTTACTTGCCTTGTTTTTGAAAATACAAAAGTCTTCTTCCACGAGACACCTGTTCTCATGTACTGTCTTGTTTAAGTTGAGCCAACAGGTAAATATCAAAAGGTTTTCCTCAGCTTGCATTTACCTTTAACAGGTGCTGGTTCTGGTGTCAAATTAAAGAATAGTTTTTGTGTCGATGCCTGTCTCTTTTTTGGTAAATATATCAATTAAAAAATAAATTACTGTAACAGCCAACAAAAAGCAGAATCCTCGCAAGACATCCAGCCATCTCTTTTGACAGAAGCAGAAATCAGCTTCACCACTAGATGTCCCTGTCTGCTTGGCCAGACTCCAGTAACTCTTACTTGATCTGAGAACTTGGCATTTCAGCCTCAGTGTTGAAGTTCCTCAGTATATTGCTGTTTGTGTGTGTTTTGGGGAACGTTGCTGTTTCTCATGTTAATAGTAATAAGTTTCCTGAAATAAGTTTTGTTGAAGATGTTTCTCAAAATGGGTAAAATTTTATATCTGGTCTTATTTTAGACATGGAATTGATAAATTGCCCAAAACTCAGTTGGTTGTTGGTGTTTATATCCTGTACTCGCTTTGTAATGATTTCTTATATGACACCTGATATAAATGAGACTGTTTTCTGTCAAAAATGATTTTCTGATTTTTTTTTTTTTAGGGAGATATTTGTGATCCTGATTTTATAAAACAGCTCTTTGAAACTGAGAAAATAGATATAGTCCTTCATTTTGCAGCCCAAACACATGTAGGTGAGCATTGCTACATGTTTTCGTATTATTTTCCATGGCTATATCTGCTTGAAATATATACTGATATTTTTTGTCTTTTCACTTCATGTAAACTAATGATCCAGTTTGTATCTGCAAACTACATGGTTCACTGTCTGGTGGCTTTTTTAACTTAAAGGCGTTCATGGCCTTGAGTTCAAAAGTGCTTCATCTGACTGTTGTCTGTTTTCATTGCACATAAATAGTAATGCCCCCCTCCCCCCTTTTTACTTGCATTACATTTTTAAATTCCATTTAGACTCACATGTAACTGACAGTGTACTGATGGAGCCATAAAGGCAATGAAGAGAGAGTTTGTACATGGTCTTAAGTTTTTACTTGATTGGCTCCAACCTCACGTGAAAAAACACAGTGTGGAAGCTGAAGGATTAGGCTTAAGTCCCGTCGCAGTCCTACCTCAGTTCTAGAGAGAATGAATTATACTCAAAAGTGCCTGTTTCAGATTGCTGCTTTTCGGTATCACTGTTATGAAGAACAATCCCTGCTATACTCCTTTTCATCATGAGAAGAAATCTTCAAAGAATTCCCCAGGAAAGTGCTTCTTGAAATTGTCAGATTTGATATGCACAAAGTCATTAGGTCAGTGGGACAATTAGAATTAGAGCAGGTGCTGGTTAATTACAGTACTAGGTATGTATTACTCCATCTTACAACTGTCTTTGAATGACACTTTTCTTACTGAGTTTAACCTTTCCTGGTGAAAAAGGAAGTAGTTATGTTTAAATAAAGTTAGATAATGCTATTTTAGGTTAAAAAGTCCACAACCAACAAGCTTTTGCTCCTGCCTCCAACCTTTTGTTGAAAGCAAGGATTTTTGTCTTCAAGTAAGTGTAGAAAGTCCCTGTATTTAATAATGGCCTTGCTATCTGACAAGTCTATATTTCAGCCTCTAATATTATTCAGTAGGCACCAATAGCCCTGTGTTGCCAAAATTTAATCAGAATTGTTTGAATTTTTTTATGTAGATCTTTCATTTTGGCATGCCCTGGAGTTCACCTATGTGAACGTTTATGGCACTAATGTGCTGGTTGCTGCTGCACATGAAGCCAATGTAGAGAAGTTTGTCTATGTTAGTACAGATGAAGTATATGGAGGTAGCACTGATGAGGTAAGTTTGAAAGTGCATGAGGGTTTTCCTAGCTTTACTTGCTTTTAATAGTGAAAACAAACTGAGTCTAACTTTCCTTGGCCTCTGTAAATGTGCGACTTTCAAGCTGTTTCTGACAGTACTGGGACATGTAAATAAACATGGGTTACTTCTAGAAAGCTGAGTATCAAAATTGTCCTGATTTTTTTTTTTGTACTGTGTTTTATATTGAATGTGTATTACCTAAAGCAGTGAGGTTGGGGTCATTAATGACCTGAATACTCCTCAGAAATAGTATCAAAGAGTCTATTATACATTGGACTATTCATGAGACTTCAGTAATGTGCACAGTTTGACAGCTGGGGAACAGCTTTTATACTCTAGCTAAAATGCTAACAGAACTGTAGGTAGTGACAATTCAGACAGGAAAAAAATTCCTGTATTCCTATAATAAATATTCAGATGCTTATTGTTGTTCTATGAAAATCTTTGATTTCTGACAATTTATGCCTGACCTTAATTCAGGAAATATAATTTAGCTCAGTAAAAAGGCAAAATATGCGTGTTCGTATTTTTAAAGGCATAAATAACAGTCAAGGAGCCTTGTGCCATAGTCCATGAAAATATTAATGTAGTTGAAAAAATCCTATGCACTTTCTTATTGTCACAATGTCTTTTTCAGTTCCTTCAACACAACTTCCATCAGTAGACTTTAATGATACCCAAGGACAATGTTTTCTTGCAAGTAGACCAGTAGTTTGGCTGATACCTTCAAGTGAACTTTTTCTGCCTCTGGGCATTTGAAAAGAGCACTTTAATCTTTGTGAATCACACTAGAAATTGTTGTAGAGTTTTTTTTGAAGGGAGGAAGTCCAGTTAATTTCAGAGGCAAAAGGCAGACAAGAACAGTAAGTCTTTTAATCATGTTAAGGTGATTGTTACAAGTCACACTTCATGTAATATCCCTCCTTCTTTTGTTTTGGGTTGGTTTGCTTTTTTTCCTTCCAGGTAAGAAGTAGACTGAAGTGGCAAGATAACCTGGAAGCTACCTGTTTTGCAAGTGGTTGGAATTGTTGAAGCTTTGCTTTGGAGGCTTTTGGGTTGCAATTCTACATTTCTCACAGAAATAAAATTTATAGAGAAGTTTAAGAAAAGACTCTTTAATTTAGGTCAATTTGCTAGTGGTGGTGCAATGGCACTCTGAGGCAATATGAACGTGAAAAGGATTGAGCCTCCCTGTAGCAAGGAATTTATTGTTTAACAAGATAAAAATCTAAGGACCTGCTACTTTGAGGTACTCTGCTAGAAGTACAAAAATATTACTGCTGGTGATCTGGCTGCCTCCCATGTTTGATAAATAGACTGTCTTTAGCTGTGGACTTTGTCAGACTGATGTACTTGGATATTTAGGGATTTTTCTTTTGTAACTTTAAAGTTTATCTGGGCAAAAGAAACAGAGTAATGCAATTTTTTTTTTTTTTTCATTTTAGGAATTTGATGAATCTTCACCAAAACGTCCAACAAATCCCTATGCCTCCTCTAAAGCAGCTGCAGAGTGTTTTGTTCAGTCTTACTGGGAAAGGTACCAAGTAAGTTGATGGAAGCTTTAAAAATTCTGAAGCCTATAGTTAAGTGTCTGTATTAAGTGTAAAAGGGTATAAAAAACCCCCAGTGCTAGTCCTCACAGTGCCTTCTCTTTCCTTACTGTTAGTCCTCTAGTTTGGATGCATTGGAGAATGTCCACCAATAAATAAGTGGTAGAGATACACTGCTGTACAGAGGGGAAAGGTCAGATGTGTTTAACTTTTGTTTTTTAAAATCTGAACTGTATTATCTAAAAATATGCTTTGATAAAATGGTCAAAGAGAACATTAGGAATTTAAAAACCACCGCTAAGCTTGAAGAAAATAAGAAAGTATTATATAGAAGTAGAACATGCAAAATTCAAATTGTATTAAGACCAAGGTCATAGTCATAGCAAAAACAGAAAGGAGAAAAAGCCCTATTAGTCAGATTTGCTTAAGCAAAAATATTTAAAATTGTCAGTGCTTTAGGCTTTTGTTCTTAATATTTCATGATGGTTTTGATATAAAGTGGACATGAATAGGATGTTAATGACTGGGAAACATCATCTTGGAATAGGTAGGAGTAAGCCAGTCTTCAGTCAAGCAGGTACACCTATGTAATGTCCTCTGGTGGTTCCAGAGCAAGACAGAGACTTCAAACATTTGTCGCCTGTGGTGCTTCTAACTGGCTGAGAAGGCCTGGAGGCCCTTGCTTGTTTGGGGGAAATACAGGTAGTTTAATTCAATTATGTTTGTAAAGGCTTACAGATTTTTGAATAAGCACTGTGCTTGTGTCAGTTTATGGTTTATCGAATAGCAAGCAGCTTACAGATTTTTACTGGTATATATTTTCTTGTGTAATCACATGTGTGTTTAATGCTCTCAAGTTTCCAGCTGTTATCACACGGAGCAGTAATGTTTATGGACCACATCAGTATCCAGAAAAAGTAAGTTAAACTGTGCTTTACTCTGAGCTTCAGATTTACTGTACAGTAACTCAGGGTTGCAGTGATGTTACTTTTTTCTCATATGAATGGGGTCACTTTTGAAAAAAGCACTCTTGCAACTAACATGTGATTATATATTTTGAACTCACACTAACATTTCTTACCATGAACACATCTTTTTTGGTTATCAATAAAACTTCAGTTAGGGAATTGTAGTTATTTATGTGAATTTTATGACAGTGAGTTTGTTTTGTAATTTTTCTGTTTTTCAAAGGATATCTTGGCAGGGTTCCCCTACAAATTATATTAACTCATATGTCATGTTCTGTAAATAGGAGTGTTTAATAACTAAGGTAAACATTTCAAAAGGTAAACTGTGAGTTTATATACCAGTATGTCTGGTATAGAAAGTGATGTTCTAACCTGTACAGAAAATAGGTAAGATGAGGCTTATAGCATTCAGATATGAGGGGAGAAGTAGCGCAAAGTGACTTTTCTTCGCATGTGTTTATACAGACCTTGCAGGGTAAGTATTTGAAATGGTTATTTGTGAGAGGGAGCTGCCTTTTTAAGTCTATACCAAAATCTGCTATGCTAGTTCATGGAAATATACTGATGGAATGAAAGTGATACTCACATGTAGTGTGAAATGTAACTATATTTTGCAGTTCTACTGAGATACTTTTTAAAATTTGAATGGTTCTTTACGTTTTGTAGTGGTGGTTTCCCCCCTCCCCCCTAACTAAATTTATTTTCCCCTACCTAATTGTAGCTGGATAAGCAATGGTTTTTAAAATAAATTTTTCACTGATCTGTGACTTGGGAAATGCCTGGCAATGGGTTGCATGATTGATGGGAGTATAATCAGGGGATGTATCACTATTTGCTTGGTTTTGACTTCTATATATTCTTCCTCACATACCCCATTTCAGTTACTGCTAAGAAGACAGCACTAGGCTAGATGAATTTTTAGTTCTACCTAGTATGTCTGTTCCTATGTTTAAAGTAGTAAGTTAACAAAATTAAAATAATTTGAGTAGTTTGCTTATGGCTTTTGGGACATTATGAATGGATCTGAACTTGTAACTGAGCATAATGCTATAAATCTTTGTGCAGCAAGCTCGTGGCTGTCACTTGATCTATGTTTAGTTTCCTTGAAATTCTCTATTGGTTCCCTTCCAGTTTTAACTATTACAACAACTCTTACTTTTTGATTATAGATTTACTATAATTTGCTGGATATTTAAACCTTGTTCTGAACTGCTGGCAGTAATTATTTCTAGTTATTGCTGTGTGCAAAAAGTAAGGGAAACTTTTTTATTTTTGTAAAAATGTTACATTTTGTAACTGCCAGGAAGATGAGATTTACACTAAAATAGAGGCATCTACTCTTAAGGACCAAAAGCTTTGCAGTTTTTAAGCTTGATACATTCTTTCATTAGAGTTAATAAAACTTAAATATTTAAAGGATTTTATTAAAATAACTAATGATACTTGACTGGTGAACTCCCTTATTCTTTGCAGATTAACAACTTCTGAAATAGAAGAGTAATTTTTTTTTGTTTGATTCCTTAGGTTATTCCAAAGTTTATATCTTTGTTGCAACAGAACAGAAAATGGTAGGTAACTGGCATTTTTTGTTTGTGGTATTCGTGCTGTAACTGTGATTATAAATATGTGCTACATTTTGTAAAATGATAATTTCATAATTAAGTTATGAATTACTTATTTTAATAATAGGATTTCCTTAAAGTAAAGTATTGTCTACATATCAGCTACTGAAAGTACCTTAGGTAACATCTAACAGTAAAGCTGCTTGAAACACAGTCCAATAAATTGAACCTGTCTATTCAAGGTTTAACAAAAATTTTCTGTCTCTTCCATGTTTTAGCTGTATTCATGGTTCTGGACTTCAGAGAAGGAATTTCCTTTATGCAACTGATGTGGTAGAAGCATTCCTTACTGTCCTGAAGGAGGGGAAGCCAGGGGAAATTTATAACATTGGAACTAACTTTGAGATGTCCATTGCCCAGCTTGCTAAGGAGCTAATCCATTTAGTGAGTAAACAGTTCTGATGCTTTTCTTTACCATTTTTCTTTTCACATATTTACAATTCTTCTACAAACCTCTTGTAGCTCTGAAATAGCTCAGATTTGCAGAGTGTCTTGGAAGGTAATTGTAGCAGAATGATGTTCTACCCTTTCTGTAGTAGCTGTACTGTGTAAGTTTGCAGTACAGGCTATCCTGTGCTGGACTGCTGCATCAGTTTTCCTGACTGGGACATAGCTGGCATAATGATTAAATACCATTTAGTAGGGGTTTTTTTCATGCTGGCTGCTTTAGTTTTGATCTGAAAATGTAGCACTATTAAAGTCTAACTATTTGATTATGGATGTTTTGGCAGTGCTCAGATGAAGGAAAAGTATTGAAATTTGTTCTAGATAATTTTGGTAATTTTTGCCCAGAACAAACCCATAACAACAAAAGACCATTTCTGTTTGCAGTTTGGGTTTTCTTTTTTTTTTTCTTAACAAACCTATATCTTGTTAAGTGTATTTTTTTTAAGTGTATGTTTAGACAGTGCAAGATGTATGGGGTTGATAACTTTTTCTCTTCTTGACAGATAAAGAAGACCAGTTCAGAATCTGAAATGGAGCACTGGGTGGATTATGTCAAAGACAGGTAAGGAATATGAAGCATTTGCAGGATATCCTGGACATGCAAGATAACTTTTCCTGAAGGCTTCTGATACTCTTGCCAAATAGTTTTTTGTGGAAGTGCTTCTGCTCTGAAGGAGGGAATACTTCTGAGTGACTAAGAGCTGTTTTGCTTTCTTAATTTTCTTTTTTTTTTCTTACTAGTGGATTTGACATCTATGATCTGTACAGATCACTGTATAGAAAAACTGAATTTCTGTTTATTATTTGGATCTTTAGATCAGAGTGTATTTCTTGAAGGGGAATGTGTAATGCTAGTCTCTGTCTTCAAACTTTCTTCATACTTCTCACTACTGAAGCCTGCTCTGGGAAGAGGACAGGTTTTGCACAGCAGCTAAATCTTTTCATCGTGATAGTTTATATAGTTTATTCAGTACTTTGTATTCAACATCATTGAGTGAGATGAATTGTCTCTCGCTTAGCTTTGGTATTTTGACGTTAATGTGACTAATTCAGACTTAGAGGTACTTTATAGTAAGACCCACTCTCTACAGGTAGAAATATGTGCCTGTGGAGTGTAGTTACTTTTAGATTTCTGTCTTAAGCTGAAGCTGCTATCTCAAAAGTAGATGTAAATCTCAGAAGTGCCAAAGTTAGGGCAGTGGTAAAAATGGATAACTTTTATAGATGTGCTTTTGCTGTGTGTTTCTGTCCTTAATTTCAGGCTTGGTTTCGCTCTGTTCTTTTATCTCCATTTCTTTTCAGCAACAATGAGTCTGCTTACTTTAGATATCACTCTCTCCAGAGTGATTAGAAATGACGTGTCTGCTGATAGCAGTTAAGTATTATGGCCTTTAGAATTCTCACTTTCTGTTCACATGTGGATTGTTATCATGGCAACTGAAGTGTCTTTAATTGTACTAACTTTTTTGTTTTGAAAAGAAAGTTTTCTTCAGAATCCTGTCTGAGTATCACAGGCCTTTGAACAAATTGCCTTTGGCTCACATGATGTGACTGTTCAGTGGGTCTCAGTGTAATTCAGCCTGGCATGTTTCTTCATGTGTATTGAGCCCTGTCTACTAATGTTTAAACATAGATGGGCTTGGGAAAACTAACCACATAGGAATATATGCTTCAAAGAAGGTTGAGGTCTTATAAAAGATTCTTCAGTTAGCTAACTAATGATTATTTAATTCTGTAATGAGCGACTTGAAGGTCATAGAGGTTACTTGCTATGGAAAAATTAGTTCTGCTTCTGCTTGAGATTAGCGTATTATAGTAACAGTGAGAAGTACTTGGTTTGTGTTTGCACATGTACCTTGACTATTCAGTATGCCAGTGCCAATAATGCAGGAATGCTAGACTAGGCTACCCATCTGCCAGACTGTGGAAGTGGAAATTTGAGTAAGATACCTCTTTCTGTGTTGAATCTTGCAGCTTAGCATTCTACATATTCAGTATTACCAAGTTTGTGTAGCTACTGAGGCACTGTAATGACAACGCTTTGGAAGCCTGTGTATTTTAAATCTGAAGTATGTGTGAATTTGTGGGTTTTCAGGATGAAAAATGTAAATGCTAGTATTAGAAAACACTGGCTTTGCGTTGCAAATGCACTGACTTGCACAATTGCGTTGGCAGTGATTTGAGTTTTGCATTCATTTCTGTGCCAATAAAATATTAATTCATATTTATTCTAGTCAATTCCAAGTAGCTGACTGTACAAACTGAATTGTATTGTAGCTTCACTCAGCTGCCATGTATTTTTTGAAGGCAATGCAATCTGTTCATGTTGATGGGAATTTTTGAAATTGAAGCATACCTAATATTCCTTTGAAGACTGTGAAGTACTGCATCTCTAATTAATGAAGTCTAATCAAATTGTTTTCTGTATGCATTTTGTACTTCATCAGGCCTACAAATGACCTGAGATATCCAATGAATTCAGAAAAGATGCACAACTTAGGATGGAGACCTAAAGTGCCTTGGAAAGAAGGAATAAAGAAAACAAGTAGGACTGACGGCTTTTACACTGATATAGAAGTGATAGGAGGAGGGAGGGCGGAAGGGAGGGCGAAATGGGTATATAGGTTAGTTAATGAGAAGCTAAAGATACAGAATTTAACACTTAAATTTTACATAGACTTGTCTGCTTTTTATTTAAAATTTACATGATTTAAAAATAAAAGTTTAATCCCTTTTTAGTGCTAGAATAAGTCTTGCATGAAGAACTTATAAAATTTAAACTAGATTTTTATAGTATTATAGGTTAAAGTTTTGCATAATGAACTGTTAGCATGTTGTTAGTCTTATGATGTCTGTGGAATATTTGAACTTCCCTGTTATCTCTGGTCAGCTTGACTCATCAATGTTCTCTCCATACTAGTTGAATGGTACAAAGAAAACTTTCACAACTGGAAAAACTCGGAGAAAGCTTTGGAGCCTTTTCCTGTGACAGAGCCATTTGCACAGCTCAGTGGTCCATAGGGTGGTGCAGAATCTGAAGGAGTTTTTTCTACCTCATACGGTCTTTTCTTCAAAACCTGCAATCAAGTGGCTGCACTGGAGTCTGAATGTTTTCAAGATACATGGCATGAGTACAGAGCTACGGTGTGGCACAACTTTGGAATGGTTTTAGCTTTTGGTGCAATACTCTATTCTCACTAGGTATCGATTTTAAAGACCTGCACGGAGTGAAGCATATTTATAATGCTATAAAGTAGTGTAACTGAAGTAAAATCTGCCTTATTAACTAAAATAATTAATTGAAACTATAGCTTTGGGACTTTCTGTTAGATTCGTTTTAGTTGTGGAATCATTCATCTGTATTAGTTTGTTTTTATGGTGTAATATTTTTGTCACTTCAAAGAGGTTTTATTTTTAATCGAGGGGAGAAATGTTATATTTTTTTTTTTGCGAATTGAAATGAGTTGATAAAATCTAGACATGGCACCTGTATTTTTCCATCCATTTCTCTTTGGTGCAGTATTAACTTCTGTAGGTGGCTGATTAAACTGTTACCTACTGTATAACTTTAAATGCCCCTTTTTAAGGAGAGCAAAGGGGAAAGGTGTCAAAAAGTAGTAGGTGTTCTTGCTGAGATTTCCAGAAGCATTTTCTTAAATTTTGTCCTTTTTTTAGTCTCTTACTGTCTTTTACATGTTAATTTCCTTTTTGTAAATGTAATTGTAACAAACTTGAAATACTGGAACACAGTTAACATTCCAGTGATATTATGTCCTGTGATATGAAGGTTATTTATGGAGAAAATGTTTTTAAATATTTCTTTTTCTGTGAATTGTGGGTTGGCAGACTTTATTCAATGCAGTGTTTTCACAATTTTTTTTTCCTGTAACATTTTAAAGATAAAACAATATTTGAATTTTAATGTAAAATTTGGAAAAAAACATCAATTCTAGAAATATGTCAGTGAATCTTTTTCTAAGTTGATTTAGTAATAAAAGTCATGGCGTAACCGGTTTCTTTTAATTAAGAAAAACATGCTGTAAATATGGATGGTGGGTTTTTTAAAAGAATATTTCTTAGCTCTTCTTTTATCCTGAAAAAATTCTGTTTTGATATTAAAAAAATTACTTTTTTTTCTTTGAGGTGGTGTGGCAGATAACAAAAGAGACCACTCTTCTTGGTTTTATCACTTGAACTTCTGTACTTGGCACAGTCCCAGATCCTTCTGTGGCCCCTGGGTAGAGCTTCAAGAAGCGTAGGACTGGGGTGCTGTGGTGTTCTCAGAAGTTGCAGTGACTTGAAAATTGTCTCAGAAACTGGGAGTTAACTCTTAAAACACAAGTGCTTCCAACATCCTCACCCCTCTTGTGTGGTGCATGGTGCTATTGATAAAATGCCACTTCTACCTAAAAAAAGGCTGTTTCTGGGTTTACCATAGTGCCAAGTGTGTGTTCTAAAGTCTAGGAGTGTGGTTTTGAAGGTGAGTTTTCCATGATGAACTGGGATAATATTATGCTACACTTGAATTGCGTGGCAATTGTATTTTTTGGGTTTCTGATACTTGGGTTTGGAAGTCAAAGCCTCCATTTGGGAAGGACAGAAGTTACAGGAGTGTGTATTGCTCTGTTAGCATACTTGGCTTACCAGATACACTTCTATGGATGAATCACTTAAATTTCATTGTCAAATACACATTGCTGGTGACATTCAAATATTTTCCTAATTTTTATATTTTTCTTGAGGTACAGCTTCCATGCAATATGCATCCTTCCTTACAATATCCATGTTCATGTTACGTGTTCTACAAAAGCCAGCACCAGAAATAGCTGAAGTGCTGCAAGGATCTGTTTTAGCTGTATTTGTGGTTACCCTGGCAGCTGCTTTGGGTTAGATGCACACAAGTCTGTATATTTCACATCTGCTTGTACTGGAATACTGGTTGTGATGTGTTTTTAGGAGGAGAGATTACAGATTACTAAAATCTTACTATTTTAAACCTACATAAACCTTAATTTAAAATTATTTTAACCATTCAAAATTGGTTGGAACACTACAGATCAATTAACTTATAACGGTGTTACCAGAAATACACAAAAGAAAGCAGTAGGGTATGATTGGTTTATTGAATAGATCTGTTGAAAATTGTTTTGAAAATTTAGATGCTGAAGATGCAAGCTTTCATATTTATGTCACTATCCAAACAAGTGATACTACTGGGAGTGGATTTTTCAAAAGGATCAATTATTTTTAAGTGGAAGGTGTTCTGGTTTATTTAGGTTTTGAAGATTTAATCCTTCCAACTGATTGAGATTTTTGGCTCCGTATTTCTACTTTTATTTATATGTATATTAGTGTATGCATGCATATTTGAAATATGTATTTTTTTAAAACCTAGGAGGCTTTTTCTTTGAGCTACTTTCCTGTAGATCAGGTTTTCTTAGCGGGTGAGTGCTCTGGTAGGACCATTTCTTTCACAGGGAAAAGTCTTTTTCCTGTCAAAGAAAACAGCTTATTTTACCATTAACCTTCTGGCTTCTGTAGGAAGGAAGGAACAAAGGATCAACTCGTGAACCGTCACTGTGGAGAAGTGTAATGCTTTTAGGTTTTATTTTTCACTGTTTTTACTGGGAAGCATTTCTGCAGATGGCAAAGGGGGAGTGATGTGAAATACTGTGAACACTGTAGTCTTTCATTCCATTCTCTCAAGGTTTGTGTCACAGAACAAAGGCTACACCAATTAAGAAAATAAATGGAGTAAGCGTGTATGTCACTTAAATCACTAAAACTTTCTAATAGAGAAGACTGGCCTTTGGCAAGGGTTTTCTATCCAGATTCCGTCACGGTCTTGGGAAGTATTTGGGTGCAGGTGTGGATTTGCATCTCTTTTTGGGGTTACTGTTGTGAGCTGGATCAGATATTTGGGAAGCAGCTCCTGAAATCCCTTGTGCATTGGAAAAACCAACATTGCTACCCCATTATTTTGGTGTAGCACCCCGCTATTCAGTACTTCCTTGCCAGCAGCAAGTGAACAGATTTGGAAGACAGTGCAGTGGGCAGCTGAGGCAGGGCCATCTGCAGTCACAGAATCATAGGGTGGTTTGGGTTGGAAGGGACCTCAAAGACCATCTAGTTCCAGCCCCCTTACCACAGGCAGGGACACTTTCCACTGGATAAGTTTGCTCAAAGCCCCATCCAACCTGGCCTTGAACACTTCCAGGGATGTGGCATCCAGAGCTTATTCTGCAAATTGTGGCCTGTGGGGCCCTTGTTGTGTGTATTGGCTCCAGTCTGTGCAATGGAGACAACTCTTACTTTCTCCAAGGCTTTCTCTGGTCTGACCTTGGCACTTGCTTACATTTGTATGCTGATTGGCATTAAGGGTGTCACTGTGTTTGAGGCTGATCATCACTGTCATCATATGATGGACTGGAAAAAATCTTTAGTTTGTCCACCCTGTACTTTATTTGATGTTGGAGAAAGGTTGTGGGTGAAAAAAAATGTGGGCTTTTTTTTGGTGGTTTTTTTTTTTTTTTTTTGATTGAGAATGCTTCATTTTGCTAAAACTGTGTTCTTATGCTCTTTAAATAGCCATGAAATGCAAAGATCTTTCTACTTTTCAATAGGTGGAACTTTTAATACAAAACCCCTCCCATAATTCTTTCTGGGGACAAGATGACTCTTAAATATACTATATCTGGGACTGAATTGTCCTACTCTTTTGTTTCATTTTGTTTTGCATTACCTGTAGTTTTTATTTCCATTTCCATTTCACCTGGCAAAACAAAGGTTTCTAAAAATAATAAAAATCATAATAACCCATTGGTCCATAGTACCTCTGTTGTGGTAATGTATGAAAACTCTTAAATCAATAGTGTTTTGACTTCTAAGCATGCTGTGACACATTTGGAGCTTATCTGCAGCAAAGATCACAAGATTGTGTTAACTGCATCAGTGGGAGACACACTTGTTAAGGGATTACATTCATAATTTCTCAGCAAAACAATCATTGCCAGTGGCAATGGAAAATCATGAGAAGACGAGATTTTGTATCAGTATGTTGTTTGCACACCTCTTTAGTACAATGGTGTGGGTGGTATTTTTAACCTCTCCCTAACTGAAATTTTTTTCTTGACTGAGAGTTTTTGTTCTCAGTCATGAAACTGCTGGCCTAGTCCTCAGCCTTTTTACTTCCGTAAATAGGTCTTTGACTTTTGAAAATATATCAGCTCCTGAAGAACAGTATTTGCTCACAAAAGACTTCCCAACAGTGGAACAACTTGAGGAAAAATACACTCTGAAAATAAAAGGAAATAGAGGGGTCTATGTCAATGAATATTCGTATGGCTGGCTTGGGAAGAGGCTGGTTTTTCCCCACCTGAAAAAGGAGGAATTTGTTAAACTCCTTTATTATTGTGGAAGAGAGAGAGGTAAAGAAAAAGTTTTAGTGTTTTTGTTTTGTTGGGTTTTTTTGTGTGTTTTGTTTTGTTTTTAACCAACACGAGGGAGCAGCAGTGAACAGTCTTGCAAAGCAGCCTCTCCCTACACAGCGTGCAGGGAGCATGAATAGAGGATGCTGTCACGGGTAGCTCTTTCCGGAGCCACGGGATGTGCAAATAAACACAAACTTGGGAGGTGAGCATCCAGTACCAGGGCGGGCTGCACCGTTGAGGGCACTTGGGTATATCCCTTGCCTTTAGCTTGTAGCAAAAGGAGTGTTACAGCAGTTGCTTGTTGAAATAAATGCTTAATCAACGATGTGAGGATAAACTATTTTTTCTTATAACTGCGCTTAGGATTTGTGATTTATGCAGACACATGGAGTTTCTCCTGTGGAACATGCAGCTCCCAGCAAGACCATGGAAAAATGGGGGTGCAGGTACCCCTTGTATTCCCATATATTTGTGATACGTCATCTCTGCAAAGAATTTGTCAGGCTTCAAAATAAAGTCCCTGAAAACTGAAGCTAAAATAATGCTAATTTAACGCTCCTAAATCCACCAGAATGTTGTCGTTTCTTTTACCCTCCCAAATAACCCAGGGAGCCAAAGCCAAAATACCATTATCCTGATAGCAAACACGTGTAGGTTATGTGTGGTGCTTAGATGCATACAGGTACTTTTGTGTTAGTGCTGCATTTTAATTTGGCTTACGGCATAATTTTGTTTGCAAAGGCTCTTCATCCATTCGTTCGTGCCATCCAGCACCTCTCTGTTTTATTTAAACCACCAAGTACGGAGCTAAGCCGGGTGACGGGTGGGAAAGAACAAATTAGTGCTATCACGCGAGAAGCGGCAGCACGGCAGCCGAAATAGCTCAGTTGGGAGAGCGTTAGACTGAAGATCTAAAGGTCCCTGGTTCGATCCCGGGTTTCGGCAAAAGCGCCTCCCTTTTTCTTCCTTCTCCCCCCGATCGGGAGGTGGCGAGCGGGTGCTGCTGCTGTGGCCGCCCCGCCGGCTCTGCTCCCGGGGCCCCTGGAGAGCCTGGGAATCAACCCTTTGCTGAGCCGATACCGAGCGTGTTGCTCATGACGAACCGTTCCCTGCCTTCTAGTTTCCTGTTTTAGCTCTTTTAAGTTTATCTTTTTTATTAGGGATGGAAAAACAAAGCAGCAAGCTTCATTCACGGTCCCTCCTCTGCCCCTCGCCATCTCCCACTGTCGATGGATGACGGGAGGGAAGAGAGAAGAGAAAGTGAAACCTTGATGAGGAGCGGGATGACTGGGAGGGTAGAGACAGGGAGCGAGGGAGTCTCTCCAGAGTACTGGGAAAGTGACAAGAGGCAGAAGGATTAGAGATTGCTTTTTGCCAAAATCTGGAGCGCAGGTCAACACTCCCCGGACGTCGCTACTATGCTGTCAACAGATGACTGAAACTATTTTACTTCACATAAAGGGAAAGGAATACTTTCGAATCCAGGACCTGTGGTAATTAATGTCATATTAGTCATAGTCTTTACCGTTCATGTATTCCCTACTGAGACTCTATTTACTTTTAAGTTGAGAAAAATCAC